GCCTCCGCCGGGCCGTTCATTTGAGGCCGGGTTGCTCCCATTAACTCTTGCCTTCGTCCTCTCCTCTGTTTTATCTTTCTCCTTTATCATCGTCCTCGTCCTCGTCATCTACTTTTTACATTTTTATTTTTTTCTTCTCTCGCCTTTGTCGTCGTCAACTCCTCCTCTCTTCCTCTCGTCCTCCTCTTCTTCTTCTTCTTCTTCTTCTTCTTCTTCTTCTTTCTCTCCTTCTCCTTCTCCTTCTCCTTCTCCTTTTCCTTCTCTTCTTCTCTTCTTCTCTTCTTCTTCTTCTTCTTCTTCTTCTTCTTCTTCTTCTTCTTCTTCTTCTTCTTCTTCTTCTTCTTCTCTTCTTCTCCTCTCCTCCTCCTCCTCCTCCTCCTCCTCCTTCCTCCTCTCCTCCTCCTCTCCCCTCTTCCTCCTCCTCCTCTTCCTCCTCCTCCTTCTCTCTCTCCTCCTTCTCTTCCTCCTCCTCTTTTCTTCCTCCTCCTCCTCCTCCTCCTCCTCCTCCTCCTCCTCCTCCTCCTCCTTTTTTTCTGCTCTTCTTCTTCTTCTTTCTTTCGTCGTCATCTTCTTCTTTTCTTTTTTTCACATATTCATTTCCTTCATCTTAATCTTCATAATCTTCTTTCCTTTGGGAATCTACAGACGCCTAGTCTTCTCTTCCTTCTCGAGGTGCTCCTTCGTCTGTGAACAGGATCAGGACATGCTCTCGCGACGCACGGGCCGAGTGGGGCGGGAGCTGGGTGGGAGGCAGAGGCAGGGATGTGGCAGTGAGTGATTTTGAGAGAGAGAGGAGAGGAGAGAGAGAGAGTGAGTGAGTGAGTGAGTGAGTGAGAGTGTGTGTGTGTGTGTGTGTGTGTGTGTGTGTGTGTGTGTGTGTGTGTGTGTGTGTGGTGTGTGTGTGTGTAAATATGTGGGTTTGTAAATCTGTGCGCTTGTGTGTGTAAATATGTGGGTGTGTAAATATGTGCGCTTGTGTGTGTAAATATGTGCGTGCAAGAGAGAGAGTGGAGAACAGGAGAGAGAGAGAGAGAGAGAGAGAGAGAGAGAGAGAGAGAGAGAGAGAGAGAGAGAGAGAGAGAGAGAGAGAGAGAGAGAGAGAGAGAGAGAGAGAGAGAGAGAGAGATTTGTTGTGCAAGTTTCCAAAAGCTAAGATCCGCGTACTCTTTACCCGGCCGTCCTTGGCTGCGTAACAGACGTGCGAGCATCATGCGCCGGGCGCCTTGATGTGTGACGTGTCATGCGAAAACAAAACACTAAAAAGTCAGTTCCCCTAAATTGTTTTATTGGAAGACAAGCGTACAGTGTTGTTCATCCGTTTCACCAACACGGACGAGCGTTTTCTCATTCATGAAGCGTGATATAATGGGGGAGGGAGAAGGTCATCCGGGGGCGGAGGAGCGGGTTCAGGCCGCCAGGTTGCCTCAGTCGATCGCCTGGCAGGTTCGGCGAGGGATCCGTGCTTGGCTCCTTGTGCTGTGCTGCCTGCATGCGCCCGTGTATGGCCCGCCTTGGCCTGTGGACCAAGCACACTAATTAATTATTCACCGCACGCATATGCTCGGGATGGACTGCGTTGAAAAGCCAGTGTTGTGATGTTTCGAGGCCGCGTCTCACTGACCCAAGTTGTGAAGCTTTGCTGTGATAATCACGAGTGTCCGCGGAGGCGATGGTCCAGGAAGAACGTCCGTCGGGCCGACGCGGACAAGGGAGCGCCAGGTCCGGGACATGGCCTGCGCCGTGGCCATGGAGGGTTAAACGGCGTTTCTGCGCGAATATTAGTTTAGATTTTCCAAAGCGGTCCGTCATCCGAAATAGGGCGACGAAGTGACAGTAAACGAGTCACTAAGCAGGGAGACGGTCGGGGCTCGGCGGGAGGGAAAGGCTTTCCTATAACTCAGTCATACATTGTTGCTGAAACTTTCCAAGCAACATTTATGGAGGTTTTCATAGCGACGAGAGGCTCTGGGCCTGTGTAGCAACATGAGGGTCTGACTGCGACGCCATGGGCCCCGTGATCAGCCTGACGTGCATCTAATCGGTGGCCGATAAAGCAACCTAGCGGAGTGTCCGGGGCGTCGCGAGGGTCAAGATATGGCAGCGGCCAAGGTGAGGCGGTGAAGGGGCGCGTGTGGGAGTCAAGGGAGGGACTGAGGTTGGAAGTCAAGGTGACGGCGGCGTTGCCCACGCACGGGCTCCTTTGGCCGCGCCACCTGCGTCGTCTTGCCCAGGACACAGCCGCACCGTGGACTGCAGGACGCTGGGAAAGGGGCAAGGAGCACGTGCCGATGAAACACGCCGATTGTTTGCCAAATTGCGGGAACGAGGCTGCAGGGAGGCCGCGGTTAGCGTGGCAACAGCCGCCAGCCGCGGACTCTCATGGCCAGACGAGTATTTTTTAGGGCCGCGAGTGCATCCCATTCTGTAAAGATCCCAAAAAAGTAAAATACGAGTGGTTCGAGCTTCCCACAAGTCCGCCTGCTCGTTTTTGACCCTTTGCGTGTATGCATTACTCCGATTTGTGCGGGTAGCGCTTGATTGCCTTGTGTGGGCTGGCGG